TAACCACCTTAAGAGGGCTTAATAAGTGCTGCTATTCCTATACTATATAAGACACCACTACCTAGAATTCGGCGGGGATAGGCGCTTCCTAATAGTAAGCGACGCGTACTTTAGGGATAATCCAGACCGTAAAAGTTTATAAGGATATACGATAAAGCTCTTCGGGGGAACCGTTAACTAGAAGGCGGGTAAGTAACCGACGGTCACGACGTCGTTAACAGAATCGCAACTACTCGCTCTTATAGAGGCCGCTAAAAAGACGTTATTCGTTAGCCGGATATTAAGGGATTTAGAGCTTCGGCTAGACTAATAATAGCTATAGCTATACTATAATAATTAATATACTATTAACCTTGTTAATAAGAAGGTATAACGCCTACAGATAAGGCTATGGTACGTCGATATATATAACTAGTAGGCGCGCTAGTTAGTATAATAAGGTCTTTTTAAGGTTACGTACGTTAACACGAAGGAGATAATCGCGGACGGATTAACGAAGGCACTACTAGAGGCGGGGATTAAAAGACTATAGTAATAGCTAAATTTAACTAATTAAAAGGATCGTATCGAGTAGTCTAAATAACTACACGAAGAGATTAAACGCGCTAAAACGGCTATAACGAAGGCCCCCGAGGGCGTAGTAGATCCGATAGATATAGATTTAATTAATTAGATCTGGCAAACAGGATCGAGGAACTAATTAAGATAGAATTGAATTAAACGGTTAAATAGGGCGGATTTAGATCCCTTTTACAAGGGCGTTTTCCCTTAACTGTTAATTTTACGATAGAAAAGTTAAGAGCGTTTAGTTTAAACCGAAGCCTTTAATTAGTTAGTTAACCTGGAAAGACCCACCCTAACTAAAGGGGTATTCTACGACCACGATATAGTCTATAGGGGATCTAGGGGGGATCCACTCTATAACTAAGGGCTCTGGATATCGGGGACTTTAGGTATTAGGATATAATCAGGGTGGATACCGGAAAAGACCGGATAGGATCTAAATGATATAGTACCCATAATAGAGTCTTCACCACCTAAATTAAGGGCATAAGAGACTCTCCCAGATATAACTTAACACAATACACACACGAGATTTCTGCTCTACTAAGTTGATCATTGAAGTGCCTATTTGACGTGCGACAGCATAACGCTATCGGCCCGAGTACCTCTGACACATCGAGGAGACTCATTCTGCAGGAGGCGCAAATGATTCACTGGAAATGTTCGAGAGTAAGCCGACTCCTCGGAGCTGTGAATCTTTTTACATAGAAAAGCGAAACAAACAAACAAACAACATAGCTCAATTCCATAAGCGTTAACAGTCGACCAAAGCAAGATTGACGTCGCTTCAAGTCCTTTCAATCGGACTTATTCCATCACTGGTGTTCAATCGGCTCCTCCGGAAGAAGCTCCTCGACTACTTCTTGATTTTTCAAGCAGCGGAAAGGGGGCTCGACAAGGCCGTTGAAAAGGAAAGTGAAATAGACAAGTATAGCGAAACCAACAACCTGTAGCCATTTAAATGTTTCCCAGCGGAGACAAAGAGATACGAGCCAGATGAACAAAGTTCTACAGGTGTCAATAGTTGATCTGGAAGTGGCGCTGACGGTCCTTGTGACCGATAGGCCAAAGAAGTTGAAGCCGCTGTGTGAAGTAAGGTTAAATAAGATTAAATACGCATCTTCAATGCATGGGAAAGTCACTTACCCGATGCTAATCATGATAAGTATGCTGGAGATTCCGAGGTTTCTATTGGTGGTGACCTGCTTCCAACCTTCGGCCATATCAAAAGGTCCATAACGCCCAGCATTCGTAGCGCCGATATAGAGATGCAGGATCGCCATTATAGTAATAGTGACAAAGAATCCGAAGATGCCCTCCCATCCGACGACCTTGATGGGGTCGATCGCCCATTTCTCTAGAGTCCATTCTTCAAGAACAAACTGAGTCGCGGTGAAGATCTGGGCGCCAGCAATGAGAAGCACGCCGATTACCGAAAGAAGAGCACTCGAGGTGGGTGCCATCTCTAAGACGGCCTGCGGGCTCAAATGATCCTTGGCGTTTCCCTTGTTCTCGTGGTATAGCGCGCCAGCCAAACCCACAAGTGCCACCCCGAGGACAACGCCAACAAGGGAAATCCACTGGAAGGGCTGGAGACGCCTGCGGAGAAAGGCAACACTGAAAATAGCAACAAATAAGACAAGCGCGCCCCGCGTCATCTGGTATATGGATGGAACCACCATCAACAGGCCCGCATTCATCAGAGTCGTGCCGCAGATGTCGCAAATTGCAGGGAGAGCAAGGAGGAAGACACGCCACCCAGTTAGAACCGGCGATTCGAGTTCCTGATCGGCAAATTTGGGGGCTGCAGCAGTGGCTTCCATGAGAGAAGCCCCCACGTCGTCGGCATCGGCGTTAGGTTGTCCATCATCCGTGCTCACAGCTTCGTACCCTCGTTCACGAGGTGAAAGGTTTATTGCGTAGCGCTTCCACAACGCCATAATTCCGACGACAAGCCAGCAACCCATTTCACCAACGAACATTTGGGCTGTCTGAAGAACAGGTTGGTGAAAGGTGGCCCTCTTCGCTCCGGAGCCAGGCTCACAGTTTCTAACACATTGCATGTCCTAGGAAACAATGTTTATCAGATCTCGTGTTAAATTGCCACAGAAGTATATACTTAAATTACCTGATACTTTGTGAGGAGAGTGTTGCAGACACCAGTGAAGAGCATCATAGCAACTAGGAAAGCGAAAGCGGTGCGCGAGGCCATCTTGGTCGTCGAGCGGCTCAATAGCGAACCAGTTGCGGTGAGGAACGAAGGCGAATTGATGGTAGTATGAGGTTAAAAGCACCCTCCTCCTGGTGTCGCCCAGACAAAGCCAAAGGAGCGGAACAACTGGGTTCTATAAGAAAAGCCATCTGGGCAAGTCAGCACGGAGATGATGTCGCATGTAGTCTTTTCGGTTACGTAACGGGCCGGATTGCTAAGAGTATAATTCGGGTGGACGGTTACAGAATGTGCACTATATAAAATACGGTGGCAGCGTTTCCCTGACGGTCTGACATAGTTATAATTATATATAATTGCCATAATTAAATTTTGACCTATTTTATGATGATTTCGACTACGGTTTATCTGATTATTAAGAGTCTTACTTGCTAAGTGAAAACCTACCCTGTACCTTTATTACTACCGATTTAAGAAGCTCTCTAGCTGCGCCGATATAGCGTGTCTATTAACTATTAAGATATCGGAATACTAACCTATTACCTATAAATCCTATCGCGATTAGGAGCTCTAGCGTAGCTACTACGAAGCTATAGCTGTTAATAATAAAGTCTAGGAATATCTACGCCCTATCGATTATATTCCCCCTCCTTAAAAGCCTACTTTACCTACCTACGGTGAAGTCTAAGCGTTAAACGTAGTTATATAAGTAAACGCTACGCGTACGTAGCTATTAGATCTAATAGCCGGCGGTTAGCGCGCCTACGAATCTATAATAGAGCGCGAGAAGATATAGAGAGATAACTACTATAAATACGCTAAAGATATTAACGCTGTACTAATATAGCAGACTAATACTATCGATAAAAGCCGTAAGCTACTCCTAGATAACGCTACCCCTTAAAGGGTATATAAAGCTATTTAACGCGATACCGCTTACTATATAACAACGCGCCGTGTAGATATCTACGAAGAGTATAACGAATATATCCGTACTACCCTAAATAGTCTTAAGAAGCTATAGGAGTGGTTAGTAAGATAGCAGGAACTATTAAAGTACCTCGAAGAGGTTAAATCGACGCCCGTAATATATATCTAGGTGGTAGACTTCTTTAAAGGGATCCGCGGGGTAGCTGGCCGTGACTAGACCGAAGCCGAGGGACGCCTCTTAAACGAGGAAGTAGTCCTCCCTAAGGATCTTTATATCCTTAAATAACGATATATCGAGACTAGACTTAAAGACTAAGGAAAGCGCGGTAACTATCACGCTATAATATTCCCTATACTATATACTAGAAGCGAAAAGGGTAAAAATACCTTAAAAACCACGGCTAAGCCTAAAAGGAAGAGCGGCCGTAGGAAAAACAAAGCTAAGAATCCTACTACCACGGTATCTATAACTATACCTTCTATTACTTTAACTAACCGCTCTTCTTCTAAAAGACGTTAATCGGCTTTACGGCGAGGGGAACCCTACTATATTTATACTACCCCTAGTCACGATATTAACGTCTATTCCTTTTTTGTTTTTTTGATTTATTTCGCCTATACAGCCCTAAAGCTATGGCGCGGCTCGTTCTACGCCTATTACTACTTATTTCGGGAAATGGTAATGAAGGAGTAGATTATATACGAAAGTAGCAAAATAACCGTCTAACGGATCCTTAAATATAATCCCGCGATACGCGCGGAAGTAGAAGAACTATATACTATATAGAAAGTAAAGAAGAATATAGACCGGGACTCTATATAGCTTAAAGAGGCGTGATTTAATTATAGTAGCGTCTATAGCGGCGTTATTTACGCTATTACCTTCACGGCTAGAATTACTACTCGCTACCCTTTTCGAGCCTTTACTATCCTAGATTCCGGCGATATTATATATATCTTTAACAATTTTTCCTGTTTTCTGATTTTATACCCACTACATAGGGGGACTATATAGTAGCCGGTAGTTTATGCCTGCCTATTAAAGGTTACGGTAACGTGACCGTAAGATTAAACGGACTAATAGAAGGCCTTGACTTTAGGCTCTTAAAGGTTATATACTACGAAGATTGCCTATAATGTAATTTTAAACTAACGGTTACGACTACGAGAATACTAGTTGGATTTCAAGCTACTAAATAACTGCTTTTAACGTGCTAATAGATCTATACTATGCTAGCTAAGTTATTATTTCGATTAAACCGTGGTTAAATACGTGCCCTTTAACTAATCTACGGCTGCTTTTCTAGGCTTTTCTTCGTCGTCTTCTACCAGAAAAGCCGTCTATAAATTAATAATACGTTATCTAAGCACTACGGAGGGTATCTTATGGTATTTACGGCTAGGGTACGCTGACCCTAAGCCTTTTAGGCACCTAGAAGAGTAGACATAGGAGGTTAAGATTAAGGGACTAATAACTATCGACTATAAGACCTATAAGCTTATAAAGATAAAATAGTATATTAGTATACGCTCTCGCACCGTACCTGCCTATATAGAGGAACGGTGGGCAATTAACTTTATGGATTTTAACCGAATATCCGATAATATCCGATAAGGACTCGAGGTTTATATTTTTCACTAACTATTATAGTGGCTTTACGGCTACCTATGTTATAAAGAGTAAGCTAGTAGCGGATATGCTTATAATAATTAAGGAATTCCTCGTCTAAATGGACCGTTAATTACGTTATAAGGTACACGTTTTCGAATCGGATAACAAGCTAACTTAATCTAACGATATTACCTTCTTCCTATAGGAGGGGAGCATCCTATTAGAAGTATTTACTACTAATATATAGACGCAGAATAGAGGTGCCGAACGCGCTACTATAGTAGTGATTATAAAGGGTTATACGATAAATATATTACTTACTACTAGCTAGTATCTATATCGGATAGTATTACTATTATCCCTCCTTAGGTAGTATCCTAAAGAGCGCTTATCTTTAGCTATAAGCGTATCGTTATCGGCTTTTTAGTCATGGTAGGCGTTAGTATCCAGTCCTCTCTTAACCTTTTTAGGGTCTTAGGCTAGTCGGTTCTTTCGGAAAGGGCGGTATCGACCTCTATATTTACCCCGTCCTATATCTCCCCGCTATTATTAGCTCCGGTATTACCGGGGTCGGAGATAATAGTTTTACCCTTTCCGGCTATACCGGGGTTAGCGGGGTTAGTAGCTAGGGGTGCCTCTTAACTAAGCTCCTTTATCTTAATAGGCTATTTCGGGTTCTATAGTCTCGCGTAGAGAGCTATATCCTTTACTCGAATCTTACTAAGCTTAGCTTTTATAGAAGGAATAATCTTACCTTTTACCCTCTTAGGCCCTACCGGGTATTTTTCGTTATTCGTAGTATAAGGTCCGTAGTAGTTAATATAACGGGCCTTATAGCTATAGTCTTCTATTATAGCGGTGCCGTATATACTATACTTAATCCCGCTACTATAGGTATATCGGGAGTAGTATCCCTAGCACTTCTCGTATTAGATTATAGCCTATTTAGTATCTCATAGTTTTACTATTAGGGAAGTCTTAAATAGGCGGAACTATCGTTTCGGTTCCGTTTAGAAGGAGATATACTAGGTGGATAGGCTATAGTTATTAGTCGGTTTACCGTGTTTTATTACACCGATTAGTTTTATTCTAGTCGCTTTAAGGCCTTTTCCTTAATAAGGGCCTTTATAACTTCGATATCGTCGATAAAATTAACGACTTCGTGTATAATAAAAGTATACTAGATCTCTACTCCTTATACATAAAGAGCTCTAGTAGCGGCCCGAATATCCCCCTTAGCATTTAGGATCATCTTCTTCGCCTAGGAGTTACGTAGTTATAGCGCCGCCCAGGTACGGGTACGTTCTACTATAATAATATCTTAATCGTCTACCTTACCGGTCCCCGTAACCGCGCGGCGGATAATTACTATAGTCTCTTATCGTTTTAGCTATAGTATCGTTTTAGGTAGGAATCGGAGGAAGACCCTATTATCCTTCTTCTTCTAGGGGTCCTTTAGTGGACGCTTCTCCTATAAACTAGGGGGCGTTACTTTATTCTTCTTCTTCCTATTCTTCTTTATAATAGTCTAATCCTATTAATTAGGGGGTCGGGTCTACTAGCTCGCGGGCTACGGGGCGGGTCTTATAGGCTTCGCGGGGGGTGCTTTAGTAGGCGGTAGGCTAGGATTAATATTACCGGGCGGTGCTATACTATTCGGTCAGGGTTAGGAGTCTTTACCTCCCGGCGCCCTAAGCGGGTCTATACCGGCTACTAGAGCCGGCACCCTTATCTTTAATGAGGCCGATAAATTCGTTACCGAGCTGGCTTACTAGGGCGGTATTAGCTCCCGGCGTATCCCTAGCTTTAGATATACCCTATTCGATAGCCTAGATTAGGATATTAATAGCGGAGGCCTTCTACTATAGGGATTAAATAAGGTCTTTTATAGTCTATTATAGTTACTTTCGAGTATATACCGTAAAGGATTTAGCATTATTCTTATTCGGGGCTACTCCTAATATATCCGTTAGGGCGGCGGCGGTGCCTTTATACTAGGCTTCGGTCTAGGTTAAGGCCCTGTTAGTTAGTGGGGAGGCGTTTAGACCTTCCGTTTAGGTATAGTAGGTCTAAGGAGAGAACTTTTCGGGAGGGTGGTTATAAGGTATAGGTGGTATTATAGGAGTCCTTCTAAGGCTCCCGTAGGATAGCGCGCCACGCTCGCCTAGCTATACATAGTATTACTAGGTAGAGCAGGGAGTTAGCTATCTAATGATACCCGTATCGTCCGTTTTAGCCGCGTTACACTCGTTTACACTAAGCCCGAAGGCCAGGGTAGTTCCTAGGAGTAGGGCGGCCATTACGGTTTTTAGTGTATTATCCCTACTCGCACTAGTAATAGTAGAGGGGCGTACGTGAGTTAAAGAAAGGATGATCTTAGCGTAGTAGCAGTATTAATAGGGGGTTTAGCGGTGCTGTCCCTTTAATTTATATTTATTTCTATAATCGCTAAAGGAGGTTATCGTTCTTCTCGGTTATATAGAGTAGATGCCGCTAATATAGCCGCTTCGCTACCGCTATAGCCTTATCTCGGCGCCTCTCTGCTTTCTAGAACTCGTCCTATCGGTTCCGGGATTTCCAAGATATATATCTATAGTAAAGACGGCTTATTTCCTAGGTAAGAGCGGTTAGCTCCGCGTTTTACTAAGAGGTGGGTAGGAGGCTAGGGGTACCCACGCGGCGACGTACTATAGCCTTATCGGCA